AGTAAAAAATAATCAAAAGATAAATCTCATATATATCTCTTAGTATACACACACACACACGTTTATGTATTAATTTTTTCACTAAAAACTTCATGATAATTAATTTTAAAATTTCTATTTGAAAATATTGAAGAGAATGAAATATTATAAAATATACATATTTTAGTAAAATAACTTATTATGTTTAAGTTTTAATTAAATTAGAAAATAACTAAATATTAACTAAAAATCATTAAATATAGCGGTGAAGGTATTGCATATTGTTTTAACAAATCATAAAATAATATTTTTATAGGAGATATTTTATTTTCTGTACACATAAAAATATGTAGTGCTCATATTTTCTTTTTATCTCTTTTCTCTACACTTGATCCCATGTCATTTTTACATGTATGTAGGAAATAATTTTATCTCTTATCAAATATCAAACTCATATAAAAAACACTACACTAAATTCCACCAAAAAAAAAAACTACACTAATAAAATAAAAAGAGGCACACACAGAACTTGGAATTAGTAAAAGAGCCCGCCGCAACAAAAAGTGGCCTACGGCCTCATTATTGAGTATTGGGCCAATGCCCAAATAACATCTATTGTTATTTAGATAGAACTGTTTTATCGTAAAAGCACGTTAGATAAAAAGTGAAAAATATAATTTTTGCGTTGGGTTGGAAATTTCTGATTAAGTATGGTTATAAATTTATTTTTTCCATAAAAATTCGTAATTATAAGCTGCTCAACTTTAAACTCACTTTACATAAAATCAAAATCATTTGAAATTAAGTTTGTATATACTCACCAAAACATGTTAAGATTTCTTACTTTTAAATGGAACTAAACCTATGCAACTTTATTTGCTTTTGCTATTCCTAGCTAGATTTCTACCTTAAAATGAAAGATTGAGTTAGAAAGCTTATGTGGATTTTTCTTTTTGTAACTTCTCGATCCCTAATGAACAGTTAAACTCTATACTTGGTCAAATTCCAACAGACAATCAAGAAGAATCTTTAGAAGGAGTGATTACTGAAAGCACAAGACAAAACAGAATATTGATAAGTCTCAACAGTAAATTATCAAGAGGCAATCCAATCTTTATCAGAACTACTTATTTAGCACATATGAAAATGAGCTCACCTCATTGGTTGTTCTTATATATTTTATTGCTACAAATGTTTTAACTTTCAAGCCATAAAAAAAAGGGAATTCTTCCATTACAAACTTGGCTTCACCTTAAAAAAGAAAGATGAAAAAAAAAACTATTGTTGGGTTTAGGTATCAAAATCAAACAAATCATTAGAATGTACAAAATAACCAAAAAATTAAACTGAATCATAAATCAAACCGAACTGCATTCAAAATAAGGGTTTGTTTTTTCTAAAGTTACTTTAGATAACTTTATCTAATGTTCATCGAAACGACGTCGTTTTGGGACGCAAATCATGGTGTTTTTGTAATTTTAATTTATTTCAGGGTTATAATAGTCTTTATCATTCTAATTTTTTAATTTTTCAACCCAAAACGACGTCGTTTTGATGAACAACAGACAAAGCTGTCTAAAGTAACATCAGAAACTTTTTCCCCTTAAAATAATCAGCTTTTAAAAATCAATTTATGAACCGAACTAGTTTTTAAAGAATCAGTTCATGAATCAAATTGATTTTTAAAACTAGTTCAAGAACCGAATCATTTTCGAACCGAACCGAATCATTTTTATTATTTTATTTCTTTATTTCTTTAATTTTTTTTTCTTTTTAGAATAAGATCAACTTGAACCAATTCCAAACTGTTTCTAACAAAATTGAATTATTTTCGAATTGAATTATTTTTAAATTAAACTGAATTATTTTCGAACCGAATCGTTTAAATTAATTCGATTTAGTTTTTAAAAAAATACAATTCAATTTGACTGGTACACACCCCTCTGAAACCATAATGGCAGGACAAAGTGGAAGTGTGGAATAGGTGAGATGAATTCTGAACCACAAGGTTAAGGATGCATGCTTGAAAAGGGTATTTCAGGCACGTAAGCGTCTCTAGAGAGCTCCTTATCCAATGCTGGTCCCCATAGACAAAAGAGTCTTTATCACCACAAGCAACCATTTCTCAACAACTGTCATGCATCATGGCTCATGCACCAAATATATGAATAAACGCAATTAATTTGCTCTTCATCATGTGCTGAGATTCACTTCAGGTTAAGCGTATGCGATATGGTTATTGTGATCGTTCATGACATTTGGTTCATAATGGTATATCTGAGCACATCCACACTACAAGACGAAATTAGATAATGCTAACGGAGCATATCCACGTTATAACACGAAATTAGAAGTTTTACCAACATGTAAAATTAAACTGGTCCTGCACCCTTGCAAAAACAAGTATTTATTTGTTATATGCAACGTACATATTTACAAAGAAATTATATGCATTCAAATTTTGCACATGAATTATGACTACAAGTGCTATTGGTAGTTGCCACTTTCACAGCTTGCCCATGTACACAAAAATTGTCATTTGTATCAAAATTGTAGTTATAGACACAGGAGATTATAATATATATTTGTATGAATTTTTTTTATGGTAAATTAATGTTTGCAGAATTTTATTTGCATTCATCATAGAGTTATTCTAAAGAATTTTTGTTAATAATCTTGATCAATATATTGCCTTTTTTTTCATGTAGTTGTTATTTTGAATATGTTATGCTCAATAAGCCATGAAATTCATTATCTGTTAATTTTTTGAAACAAAATGATTTATTCTTTGTAACATCATATTTTGTAGTACAAAATTTTTCTAAATGTCAAACTAATGAATTGTAATGATGAAATTGCTTTCAATGCTGCAGCCAATTAATAAGAGAAAAGTTTTATAACACGGTTCCTTTTATGGAGCACTTTCTCAATGCTACAGGAGTATCTATTCCCTTATTAAAGTACGAGAGAAAATAAATATAAAGACAAGAGTAATATAATTATATTATTATTTTTTCTTTTAATAAAAAATGTAATAAGTGCTCGGTAAAAGTTCCACAAGGAATCATTGTAGAAAAAACCAATAAAATAAAAGTAGGTATACGTGACTTTTTCCTTTTCTTTTTTAACGATAGATTCCTATTCTCTTGTCTTACTGTAATAAAATAAAGATAGGTATAAAAATAAAGGGAAATTTATTATTCATGTTGCTGCAAATTTTTTTTTCTTTTTAACAGACGTTATAATTATGTATTTTAAAGAATGTATAGTTATAATATTAAATTTTTTTTCTTTATTGTATAAATAAGTTATGAATAAGAAGTTGGAAGAGTCATGTCTCTTCGAGTGGTATCTTTTCATTTGTGAACAGTCGCGCCTATTCGAAAATGAACAGTGGCGCCTCTTCGAAAACGAACAGTCATGCTTTTTCGTGATCAAACAATCATGTCTTTTCGTTTTCGAATAGTCGTATTTCTTCGGCTCGTGACCGTTCATTTCCTATAAATACCTGTGTTCAATGAATTCAAATATTAATTTCGTGAATCCTTTCAATCCCCACATATAGCCTTTATATGCGATTGATCTGTGTTTGTTGTGTCCGTCGGTATTGTTTTTTTTGGTTGTGCCACCGTCAAAACAAAGGTAACCTGTTTTATTTTGAGAGACATTTGTCCATGAACCTTAGGCACCATTGAGAGAACAAAATTGCTTTAAACACACAGTATTTAATACTGAGCTCGGATATGATTTTCATGCCTTGCATATTGCAGCTTGATTTTATTTGATTGCATGTAATTTTGTGTTTTATTGATATCACTATAACTAACAACACAGGTTTTTACATTACCACAACTAACATTCTTTCTCTTCAGGAGTTATGTGTTCATGTGGAGAGAAAGAATTTTTTTTTATTATAGATATATACTTTCAAAAATACATAGTTATAATGGGTATCATAAGAATTTTTGTTTTTATAGCAACACGAAAAAAAAAAGACTTAAAAATAAAATATGAGTGCCGTTATTTTTTTTTTCTTCTGAAATTATTACGTACACATGTAATGGTAAGACCGATATCATGTATTTAGGAACGACAATGGACTGGTTCAATGAGCTTTCGCGATTCAATTCAACTTTCAAAATTTGATTACAAAGTCTACTAAGTTAAATTTTAAACTCAAATTTGAATAAGTAAACGCTGCGCCATCTTATAAAAACTTTTATTCCACTCAAGACAGAGGAAAGTAACAGGCTAACAGCTTAATATAAGTTTCAAGAAGATGTGTCGATCTCTGCCATGCGTTTGCAAGAGCAAGACAACTCTTACCAAACAAAAGCTCCTATTATTTTATTTTTTTTATACCAAAGAAAGTTGACTTAAGTGATACATACTTGATTTCGTTTAAGTAAATTTTTGCGTTCAACTATTTGTGAATATAAAAAATTCTTTTTCGAAGAGTTAGCTTTGCTATGATGTGGATGTTATGTTTCTGCTTCAAATAGAATTATCTCCCATATTAAAAAAAAAAGCTCCTTTTATTTTATTTTAGTTCTAATCTCTAAAAATGTTCCTTTATTATGACAATTGACTTTGATTAGTATAATAGCCGGTAATGGGACAATTCAGAGTATACTTAATAATAAAAATTCGAAAGTCCAAGGAAATATGCTTGAAATGCTTGTTTCAAGTTTCAACACTCAAATTGGCATACCATAAAGTAGACCTAAGATCTAAACAAGCTATCAAATACAATGATTGTCGACAAAAATATGTTCTTAAACAGCATGGTTATTATAAATTAAGCTAATAATTCATAGCCCTTGGCAACATGTTATGATATATATATATATAACAAAAAAAAAGAAAAAGGTACTTGATAGGAAAAAAATAAGAACAACCTTAGGAACCTTATCTAAAATATTAGTAAAGGGAGGCTTTTTCCTTTGGTGCTCTTTAAGGGACCAAAAACAATTTTCATCCACTCGTAACACACCCCTATCTGATTTAGAAAAGCCAAGAAAGAGAGTCATAGGCCATCAACCCCTATTTTACACGAGTCTCTCATACTACGCTTCCCATACTGTCTCAGGGTCTGTGACACAGAGACACACACTGGGTGCATTTTCAGTTGAACCCACTTCAAGTTTGCAGCTTTAGCCGTTTTTCCACTGTGTTCTGGTGAGTTTCTTTGTGCCATTTCATTCATACTCTTCTGTGATTGGGGAAACTTGACATGTAACTGCATTGTTCTCCTCTTGGTATGAATTCTCTGCTTATTCTTACTATTTGTTTTTTTTTTGACACACTGGTAAGAAGTTTTTGGCTTTGAAAAACAGTCCCTTTGTATGTAAGTGTATCTTTCTAGTGTAACTCATCCCCATGGCCATGTCATTAAAGGAAAAATTTCAAGACTGATGCTAATGAAAATGCTCGATGGTTCAAAAGCCAGGCTTGTTGAGTGCTAAACTGCAGATTATGATCTTCACTTCTACCATTAAATATCAAAATTTGTTTTTGGTCAAATAATGCTTCTGATGTTGTAAATGGAAAAAAAAAAAAAAGGGGTGCGGTTTATTTTGTTATTTGGAGATGCTTTCAGAGACCTGGTTTACAAGAAGCTTGTTTCAATTATGTTAATGAAACGGGGTAGGGAATAGGTCGTAGTTTTATGATCATGAACAAAAAGTAAACTCTTTTGAGCCTTACACTTGTCACTTTATTTATCTGCATATTGTAAAACATAACTCACTTTTTCATCATTATATGCTTCTAATGATTAAAAAAAGTTCCCACTTTCTAGTCTAGCAAATTAAAATTTCATTTTATATACAATCAGACCAGACAAGTTTTAAATCCCATGTTGTGGTTACTGGTTAGCAAGCTAATAGTGCTGGATCATCATGGTTTCTTTGTATGCCTAATATAAATTTACACAGATAGATATTACTGTGAAGAAGGAGAACAAAAACTGAAATATACTACAAGGAAAAGCTAAAGTAGCAGTTAATAATGCCTCACTGTAATGGTTCAGAGGGGGTGGATCTGATTAAAGACAAAGTTTGATTGTGTGTAACTATGGATAGATCATAGATATTGTCTTAAGTCTGAACTCCAATCAAATTTTTAGTAAATTATACTCTCCACTTCATTGGTTAGATAAACATATTTGATTTGACTATCAAAGCATTCTTGCACATTTTCTTGAATGATTATTTCTCTGTTGATTTTTTGCATCTAATATGATGTTATGCAATGTGCATCTTATAGAGTGTGGCGATGACCCGACTAGTATGATCATAAGTAGTCGTCATTTGAGCATGGTTGATGTAAGATAAACGTCATTTTCTAAATCATGATGCTTTTTGCTTTAACTTAATGATGATATCTAGTCAATACTGATTCTTTTCTCTTGGAGGGGAAGGGGTATGTTTTCATAGCTACATTTTGTTGTGTAAGGATCAGAAAATAACACAGATTTTGCACTTTTCACACGCTAAGTTAGGTTTAAGAAGGATTTGATGATTGCTTTAGAATGATTTTATGTGTGGCTTCATTAGTCATCATTTAAGAGTGGTTGCATGACAGCTGATAAGCATTATGCATTGAATTATTAATGCTGTTTAGTTTTTTCTTGCTTAATATTAAACATGAAATTGTATTATGTGATCTAATTAGATTTTGTTCTTTGGGTGGGGGTTCTCATGACTACTTTATGTAGTAAGAAGCAGAACATGGCACAGATTTTGGCACCCTCTACTCAATGGCAGATGAGAATCACAAAAACCTCTCCCAATGCAAGTCCCATTACATCGAACATGTGGAGTTCTTTATTGTTGAAACAAAATAGGAAAGTTGCTCCTAGCAGTTCTGCTAAATTTAGAGTTCTGGCAATCAAGTCTGAAAATGGCACCATCAACAGGCTAGAGAGTCTACTTAATTTGGATGTCACTCCATATACTGACAAGATAATTGCTGAGTACATTTGGTATTCCATTCTACTCTGTCTCTGTTTGTATCCCATATTGTAGCCAATCAAATTACGAATAAGTATTTCCTTTTTCCTGCTTCTGTATGAGGATGCAAGGTGTTTTAAACTCTGACTTTTTTTTTATGAAAACAGGATTGGAGGGACAGGAATTGATGTTCGCAGTAAATCAAGAGTATGTTATTTATAATGTTGTAAATAGGCTGAGAGAAATAATTCCTACCATTTTAGTCATTTGATTTATCTCATGCTATTTATGATAATCCTATGTATATATATTTTCAATTTTCAGACAATAGCAAGGCCAGTTGAGCATCCCTCTGAGCTCCCTAAATGGAACTACGACGGATCTAGCACTGGACAGGCACCGGGTGAAGATAGTGAAGTAATTCTATAGTAAGAATTTTGGTTCTAATACTTCTATTAGTGTTACTAACTTACTCCACACCATAGCAGTTTTAATTCTAGTATTTTTTCCCCCCAGTCCTCAAGCAATTTTCAAAGATCCTTTCCGCGGTGGCAACAATATTTTGGTAAGAGCTGTTATACTTGAAAGAGGTCCCACGGCATGTTGATTGAAATTAAAATACAGATATTATGAAGTTAATTGATTTATTTTGTTTTGCAAAGGTCATTTGCGATAATTACACACCAGCAGGTGAGCCTATCCCTACAAACAAGCGGCACAGAGCTGCTGAAATCTTCAGTAACCCAAAGGTCCAGGCTGAAATTCCATGGTATATATTATACTCAGTTATCTTTACAAAGATAAATACAATTTTGTGATGATTAATTGCATGATTTTGGAATTTATTTATTTATTTATGGTTTAATGTTATCAACTGTTGTTGGATGGTGGGAAATTGTAACTCGGTATTTCACTCTATGATGCACAAACCTATTCGATATATGATGATTAGTGGCCAAAAAAATGATATATGATGACTTAATAATGCCAATTAATATTCTGGCATGAACAGTTTTTCTTATCTAGTGATGCCTAACCTATTAGACATGAGATTTTTCCGTTGTCATTTTATCACTCACTGAAATATTAGATAACTAAACTTTTGGTGTTGAATTATGATGTTGTATGTTGACTGTTCAAAGGTATGGAATAGAACAAGAGTACACCTTACTTCAAACAAATGTGAAATGGCCTTTGGGTTGGCCGGTTGGAGGTTATCCTGGTCCGCAGGTAATGTCACTTGTAGTTTCTTTTGTGTTTTATTCACATTTCACAGGAAATTGTGAATTTCATATTGCAGATTTAATTAGGTATTCCTTCATATGCCAGGGCCCTTATTACTGTAGTGCCGGGGCAGATAAGTCATTCGGACGTGATATATCTGATGCTCATTACAAGGCTTGCTTATATGCCGGAATAAACATCAGCGGTACCAATGGGGAAGTTATGCCTGGGCAGGTACACCTCTCGCTGTTCCCTTTGTTTTAAGACTTACGAACATATGAACTCAATTTTTATCATAATTTCTTCTATGAATATTGCAGTGGGAGTATCAAGTTGGTCCTAGTGTAGGTATTGAAGCTGGTGATCATATCTGGGCTTCAAGGTACCTCCTTGAGGTAATTCATTTTTTTACCTACTTCTGGTTTATATATATATATATATATATATATATATATATATATATACCGTTCTACCATTTGATAGAAATGTTGAGCCTTCGATAGAATTAGTTATGAAAAAATGTCACAGTATCTTAATTCTGTAGAGGTTTCTGGTTCAATATATTATGTTAAGAACTTCTTGTTCTTGTGCAGGTACATTTTAAGAACTGGCTATTTGCTAAACTAGATATATTGTTATTTGTGTATGTTTACCTGAGAATTGCACCATTTGCCTTTAGTTATGCATCATTAATAATTATCAACAGAAAATTTTTGTCTGTATATCTTCTTTTTAACTCTTTCCTCTTTTTCCACAGGCGGATATGTCCCTAAATTAGATTTTTTTTTCTTTCGTCTATTTTATTCAATTCTTAAGTATGTCTAGAGTTTTAAGATCATGAAAGGTAATTCAGCATTCATAAGAACAAATTTGAAGACAGGTGAAAGGCTCATGCCATTGCTTATACTGAAAATAGTTTTTCTCGTGTAAACATAATTTTGTGCTTATTCTTTCTCCCCTGTCCAGTTTTGTATCTTCTAATTAAACATATTACATTTTTGTCTGTTGACAGAGAATTACTGAACAAGCTGGTGTTGTTCTTTCCCTTGATCCAAAACCAATTGAGGTACTATAATGCTTTAGTTCACAGTATTTCTTATCCTATGATAATTTTACTAATTGTTTTGGTTTTAACCCTGACAGGGTGACTGGAATGGTGCAGGATGCCACACCAATTACAGGTTTTTGTACATGCCTTTGTCATGAATCATAATTGCATGTGTCTTATTGATCATAATTGCATGTGTCTTATTGACTTGCTAAATTACTAGTTGATAAATATCATTTACTTTTTAGTACGAAGAGCATGAGGGAAGAAGGAGGCTTTGAGGTGATAAAGAAGGCAATTTTGAATCTATCTCTTCGCCACCAGGTTCACATTAGTGCATATGGAGAAGGAAATGAGAGAAGGTTGACAGGAAAGCACGAGACAGCAAGCATTAACACATTTTCTTGGGTACTATTTCAAAATTGCCAATACCTATTATTGTTTAAGACAGGGTAATCAAGCATGAAGGTAATCTTCTTGTGTGAAACATCCTAATAAAATTGAACTTGCAGGGAGTGGCTAACCGTGGTTGCTCAATCCGTGTGGGAAGAGACACAGAGAAGAATGGCAAAGGTAAGTCGCCAACAATCTATCTTGGATGATTGCTAATTGCCAATATAACAAATTCAGCTTATCATTAGGCTTACGGATTCGCACTCTCTTGCCATGGCACACTGGTGTTTTTTGTTTCAGTGTTCTCCTTCATGTGTTGCAAAATCACATGCCTTTCTTTCCTAATTTTGTTGTTTTGAGGAAATTGTCATTGTATTCTGTTATCACTGATCTCATTCCAATTTTTTCATTCATTTCTTTGTTGTTCCAAACATATTTTTAATACCAGCAAATTAATATCATGACCATTTAATTTCTGAAATCTACAAGTGTTACCATATATTATTTTTTGTTTACCTCTTGATCATAGGTTACTTGGAAGATAGGCGTCCGGCTTCAAACATGGATCCATATGTGGTGACAGCATTACTGGCAGAGACTACACTATTGTGGGAACCAACTCTAGAGGCTGAAGCTCTTGCAGCTCAGAAGATAGCATTAAAGGTCTAAATCTATTGATTGATGTCATTCCGGATGGAGTCATTAGTTTGTGTGGAGCTGGAAAGCTCTTTCACTTTCCTTTTAGATTATTTGTATTCTAAAGATCTTGTTTGGATGAAAGAGGTTGGCATGCCCATTTATTGGTTGTCAGATGAAATGCACATTGTATATCAGAAATTTCGTTGGTTATATTTGCATCTGGACAAATTACATTGATGCTTGGTTATATTCAATGTTTCTTTGTATACCCCCCCCCCCCCCCCCCCCCCCCCCCCCTCCTTAAAATTTTCACTTACAACCCATAGCATGGACTGAGTGGTGGGAGAGAACCTCGGTTCGAATCCCACCAACACCATCTGAAGAGGAGTATAAGTACCGTAATTTTTGGACTCGCACCCGAACTCTGGATTAGTCCCATAGGTGGTTCAAAGAGTCGAACCCGTGGGGATACCAGAGGTTCTGATTCGTCTCAGAGAGATAATTAGAATCAGTTTCCAAAAAAAAAAAAAGAAAAAAGAAAAAAAAATCACTTACAAGTTCTTTGTTTGGGCTGGGACTAAGCTCAATTTAATAAAATTGAGAACCTTCAAACCATACAAAGAACAATGGCATATTAGTTCAAACCATGAATGAAAAGATTCTTGCTCCCTTCACAGGCAAATCGGATCATGTTGGAAAAGAATACAAGCAACATTTGTGTGTGCGCGCGTCAAATGTTGGCAAAAAAGAACCATGTTGCTGAACTACCTTTAGTGGATATTTTCTGGTAAAATAATGGGGAGAATAAATCTTGGCTTAGATAAGTCGTTTAATGTTACATTTGTGTTTGAGCTTGAAAGGTGGAATGCCGCCAACTTACACACACATACAGTAGCCATGTCTTCACTAACATGAGTACACACTCACTTTACTAGCGATGGGGTGAGCCTCATTGCCTATTTAGTGGACAAAAAGAGGGAGCAGGGGCATTCCGAGAATCGAACTCGGGACCTCTCGCACCCAAAGCGAGAATCATACCACTAGACCAAATGCCCGGATATGATAAAGCTGATATTTGCACATATTGATCAATTCAATAAGTAACTTCAAATTTAAATGTTTATTATTTTAAGATAAACAATTGTAGGATACCAAAAAAAATAAACAATTGTATTTTAATATAGGAAAATAATTCGTTTATAAACTTTTTTTACAAATTTCTTCAAATTATATTATGTAAACAAAAAATTTATAAATATAACTATCCCTTTTAATATATACTTATTAATTTTTCACATTCTAGTATGCTTTTCCCAACGTGTAAAATAAATATTATAAAAGGATAGATTATTCTATCTATATTTTTTATACTTATCTTGCCTATCACTTTTCAATACCATTTGATCGAAATCTCAACTAACCTTTATAATTTCTCTTTCCTTTTGAGATTTTAATCTAATAGTGTTGAAGATTGATAGACAAGACATACATAGAAAAAAGATAGGTATAATAACCTATCTCTATTATAAATTATATAACGTTTGTATTTGTCTTTATACTCCTTGCATGTTAAAATAAGGTCCATTTTTTCTTATATTATTGAAAAAAAATTATTTTATGTCACATATTATAACTATGTACTCTGACGAATATATAATTATAATATTAAAATTATTTTTTCTCTCTTTTCATTTCAACCGACAACTCTTGAAGAGAGGGGAAATAATATTTTTAAACTATTGGTTCATTTTTTCTAATGTTATCTAGATTTTTTTTAATATTTACCAAAATGATGTTATTTTGGATAGGGGTGTTCATCAACCGATCCAAACCGATTCAAACCGCGGTAACCGAACCGAAAAACCGATAACTGAATAAACCGAAAACCGAAAAATCGAAAACAAAAAAAAACGCGCAAATTTTAATTGGATTGGATCGGTTTTGGGATTTAGATGAAAACCGATCCAATCCAAACCGATCTAATATATTAATTTTTCTCTACCTACTTGGGTCTTTCCTCAATCATAGTCCAAAAATTTCTAAACCCAAGACTCATTAACCCATCAACTAAACCCAAGAAAAAAATCTAGTCACATCTCATTAACAAAATTTTATCTATGTAGAGCTTCATATCTCATTGTCCAAAAAAAAGAGCCAACTCATCTCACAGAGATAATTAGGGTTAGGTAACTCCAACAAAAAAAAGTATATTGTTATAACGAGTGAGATAAGATAAAATTTTCTTTGGAGCAACAGTATGATTTCCCTTGAAATAAATGTTTCGTATGATTTGAATATGAATATATATATTTTTTTTTTTGATAACAGAATATGAATATATTTAACCCGTGTAGAAACACTACCCGTTGAGCCGCTTAATCTTGCTGGTAGTTAAACGAAAACGCCGCTGATTCTGAAGCCTTTGATATCAATATCATACTATTCCCTCTAAACTAAAGCCACACAGAAATTGGAGTATAGCCACGCGACGCGCCTTGGTTACTCCATCTTTTCTCCTTCTCTTTTGGAATCAATTTGGGTCACATTTCACCCATGATCTGTAACTATGCCACATTCGTCTCCGTCGCTTTGCCATCATCGTCTGTGCCCACAAATTGTGTGGTTTTTTCAAGAGAATTCCTTCGGCCAAAGAAAACCCTTTTGGCTGTGAAGGTGAGGAAGAAGGCTAGCAGCCTTAGAGTTAGAGTAAGAGCTTCAAAGGGTGATGATAGTGGTCAATCAACAAATTGGTCACGGTGGATACCTGCCAGCTCTGTTGCTGCTGATAAAATTTTCAGATTGATTGCTGGTGCCACGGCTAGTCCCATTGGCCAGTTTGTGTCGTCTCCCATCACCTTTCTTCATTCTATTGACCCTCGAGTCAAATTGGTAACTCAAATTGATTATTAGGTGTTATAGTATAATTCCGTTGTTGAGTGTTTTAGACTTTAGTTTCGAGTTTGCTATATTTTTGTATGATTGTAACAATGTGAAAATTTGTCACTTTATATCTCACTATACTAAGCAATCACAATTTTTTTTTTTTTTTTTTTTTTTTTATAAACTTGTATGTCTTCCTTGTCAACGATTTCGCAGAGATGTGTAGTAGACAGACAAGTGAGAGTGTTTATTTAATGCATTTCATGTACTTTGAGGTACAACACAATCAGAATACGACAAAACAAGTTGTAGAGTCACTGGATATTTTTTGTGTGTTGTTAGTTGTTTGATGATTAATGTACAGCAGTTTAAATTTTTGTTAAATCCTTGTTTAATATGCATAAGTATAGGATAGAATCACGCAAAATTTATTATAATATCTTTTTGGTTGTATATAGTTTCCCGCGCAATAGAGCTGGGAAAAACAAGGGGTAGGAGTTATTGGTCTTTTCCTCTCTCTCTCTCTCTCTCTCTCTCTCTCTCTCTCTGTATTATGGATTTGTAGTATTTTGCTGTCCCTTGAACTATTTTTTGTCCAATACTTATATTATTTTAAAATTCAAATAAAGTACACATTTTTTGTGGTATGCTGTCCCTTATTTTTAGCAAACCAAAGGGAACATTTAAGTATGTTCATGGACCCAAAACTTTGGTTGCCACTTCTGATTTTAGTTTGTGATATCTGTCATATTTTGTAGTAGTCCTTGATAAAGAATGATCAGTGATGCAACAACTAACCATTTGACTGGTAGTGAAGTTGTTTTTGATACACGTTCGATTACTTTCGATCAAGGCTATCGGTATCAGTCTATCAGATTTCTTACCATAAATCATGATGGAAATCTCAGGAATTATAGATTCATTTGTGTAGCTGTTATATTTGAATTATTTGTTTTGGCTGCTTGGATTATGTGTGTATGTGATTTTCAGTAATCTATCAGTCTGATTTTACAGGTATGGCTTTTAGCTCTGGTTGTTCTACCGGCAAGGTCACATATGATTATGCGATTTGGATTAGTAATATACTTAACTTTGCTTTCAATTTGGGTTCTACCAAGAAATGTTTGGACGGTGAGTAATTGCTAATCCTTGTCTTATCTAGCTTGGGGAGTGGAATCATATTCATATATGTGGATTGTTCACTTTGCTTAGTTATATTTGATAAGTTGATCATCAATTTAAGTTGGGCTTTATTATTAGTCCACTGGTGTTGTCATATCTGTCATTTAAGGTTTGCATTGTGTTTCATCTGATGTTCACTTTTTTTATTTTATGGTTTTTAATAATCCTTTGTTATCATAATTCAGAAGATGATATCTCTCATTCTTAATGTTTATTGATGATTAGAAGTTGCTTGTACCTTCTCAGAAATAAGTTGGAGTTTCCTTTATATCAAGTCAAAGATACTTGGTGGTTGGCTATTTATTTAGAGTTGTTTTCATATTAATTTGGTGAATTTCTTGCTGATTTCTACTCGTAGGATCAATTGGGAAGAGTTTATTTGCTATCAGGATTGTTATTCATAACATTAGGGCTGGGTTCAGATGGTGTGCCCGCACTTGTTCAGTTGAGAACTCCACCTCCTGCGATGATGGGGCTTCCTAGTATTCCTGTATCTTTAACAGGTTATTCCTATGTAATCACGAAGTTGGGTCCATTAACCTTTACAAGGAAAGGCTTATCTGTAGCAAGTACTGCTGCATGTTTGACTTTTACAGTAAGTTGCTCTCTGCATTTCTGCCTTTTCTTTTCATTTACTGTTGTTTTTGGATATTTGGCAGAAGCCATGTCTTGAAAGCTTTCTGAAACGACATATTTTTTCAATGATTCTGACTCCTGCGAATTTGGTCTGCATTTCTTTGGAAGGTATTTCAAAGTGCAAGTCTCTGCCTCACAACTACAACCCCTGAACAATTAGCATTTGCATTGCGATGGTTTATGCTCCCTCTGAGATACATAGGTGTCTCTGTGTCAGAAATTGTGCTTACCCTTTTACTGTCATTGAGGTTTATCAGTCTAGTTTTTGATGAGGTAAGAAGAGTGAAGGGTTTAACATACATACAAATGTGCGAATATTATAACCATAGTTTTCATCTCAGTTTATTTTTCTATTGATAGCTTGGTTTAATTGTTCCAAAAATATACCTTTTATGACTACTAAAACTACCACAACAAAAATGCGAAATTCAACATCAACATCAACAACACCTTTATCCCAAATTAATTGGGGAACAAAAATGCGAAATTACAAGGAAAAAATTATAGTAAGCATTGCAGGAGGTTTTTGGGCCTGGCACATGTTGAAAATAAGATGAACCTCTCCCTCCTTTTTTAAGGGGTGGGGATTCCGATCCGTTTGGTTGAGCACCAAAGAAGTCTTTTTCGTTTGTAATCAAATGATAATTTGAAGCTTTTACTTCTAATTGATGATTATTTACTAGCATGAGTGGCATATGCTTAATATTATGATGTCAACAGTGTTCTAAAGGTATCTAAATAACCAACGCTAACTGTGTCATGTTGCAAGCACTTAGGGTTTTCAATGTTTTGCATATATTATAATATTTGTTAATAGGATGGTGCTCATTTAAGAACTTAAGGATGACAAAGAGATCAAATTTATGGATATTATGGGGCTGTAAACAGTGCTGTAAATGATAGCTTGCTGTTTTTAATAATTTGAGTTACATTCAAACAAGAATAAGATAATATCTTCATTAATGAAGTTTTTAGTTGTTATTGATTATCAGATTAGATTTAGCAAAGGCAACAAATGAAGTAATTTTTCAGAAAAGACTGGGTGTTAAGTAACATAATATGATGTGCAGGTTAGCCTAGATATCATCCTGTGGGTTGTACGGGACTGCATCATGTATGAATTTGCATGACTAGACTGACATGAAGCTCGAGGGCTGCTAAGATTCTTTAAATGCATCCAAGTCGCACTGCCTCCTTATAATCTTAAACTTAATTTATGTACTGATCTAATGTTTTTAAAATGCACAAAGTGATGCCTGGCATCTAAATGGAATACATGACTAGATGATACTCTGATAGTGATAAATATGACAATCAATAAAACTTCCCTAACAATAGTTACTCTGCAGTTTATCCTACACTATTAATCTTGAGTTTTTCATTTTCCTTTACTGTCTCCATCAACCTTACACGTTGAATATCCATGCTGTTTTGTTGCAGGTTCGGAACATTGCTTTAGGGATTGTGTCTCGTAGGGTAAATTGGAAACAGCTGACTGTTATGGAGACAATTGATAGTAAGTAAATATTGCTAGCTCTTCCTGTTTTTTTCCACGTATTGACAAAAAATTTGTTATGTTTTCTAACCACGTATTGACTTTCTAACAAAATAGTATCTAGTTATCATCTGGATAAAGATTGTGCAAAAATCTCATTTAAATTCTCTCGTCTTCACATTTGATTTGCACAAATTGTCTAGGATTTCCATGATAAGGTCAGTGAAACTGGTAATTAACACCGTATAATATGCCTATTGATGATGCAGCACTTAGTTTTGATACTATAGCACTTACATATTCACTCATATGATTATAATTTTTTTTTTGTTGTGTAACCTTATACTATGTAGTTATCTAATACATTTGTCCCAATATTTTGTTACATTAACATGATCAGTGCACCAAGAACTGAATATTAACACCGTATAATATGCCTATTGTTACCCTCTATGGCATGTCAATATAATGATCTATGCCAGTCTAGATCCTGAACAAAATAAATGAAGCCGAGGAAGTTTATCTGTTTCTTTTGAATTGTGGTAAATTCTTTCAAAGCACTTTTTAGAAATCGAGTGGTCTTTTGTTGCTATCTTGCTGAACTTTTAATACTACACCTGTACTGCTACTAACACATAATACATGTATTTCTGTATAAATGACCAAGAATTCCAGAATAACTAAGCTTTAGCATGTAGATTTATCAGGATATTTCTTGGTAGGTAGTTTGTATTAAAAACTCAGTTTGGGAATTGAAAAACTATGTTTAATTAGGTTAATATTTAATGAATTTATGATAGACATAAAGATATTTCTTCATCCTCATGATTCTTCTCTTTTTTCCTTATATGCGTCTGCAGTTTTCTTTAACTACTTCCGGCGCATCTTCAAAAATATTTTCAGCCATGCAGAGCAAATATCTGAGGTTTGTCTTAAATGTACATTTTTACTATGTATTTCCCATCTGCTTTTGTCAAAGGTGTTTCTTCACCTTTATCCTATTGTCAACTTCTTCTAGAACTGTTGAATAACCCGATAATTTTGTTTCAAATTCATTAATATTTTGAAGGTTTTATAGATTCTTGCTTAGACAAAATGTTAAGGTGGTTTTGGATTATCTTTTTTCATTTTCAATTAATATATTTCTCCAATAAATACAAAAGTCCTACCTTGTATTCACTTTGTTTCCTGTTTTTATGAATTTGTAAAGGAAATGGTGAAAATTATAAAATTTTGTTTTCACTATTTCCTTCACAACATCTTGAAAAAAAGAAGTAAATAATGTGAAAATAACGTGGCATTTTTTTTGATTATAAACCAAAACATTAACTGAATAATAAAAAAAAAAACCAAACCAAACACCACCTTACTTTCATTTCTGATATATGTAAAGTAAAAATAGTTAGAAATTTGTCCTTGTGTTAATTGCATAGTTTGAACTATATGTTTTTTTTTTTGGAAATTTTTTTTTTTTTTGGAAATTAGTTTGAACTATATGTTGATTTCATTAACAATGCATGGTTTCTAAAAAAAATGTACTTTGATTAAATTGGCCCTACATGTTACAAAACTCAATTTCCTGGGACATAGGTCTCTATTACATGCTGACCAATTGGCGCCAATCTGCTGTTGGCATCGCAGTCAACCTAGAAATTCATAGGTTGTCTTCTGATAGTTTAACATAAAATGTTGCAGGCTATGATAGTCAGAGGTTTCAGAGGGGACGGTGATGCTCATAAAATTTACTTCTTATCAGAATCATCTTTTGGGATGGCAGATATTATATGTTTGTTGTGCTTGTCAGCTGTCATAGGAGCTGCTCTCCTGTCTGAGTACTACCTTGTCTAATAATATATCCTACTCGTGCATCGGTAAGAGCATTTTGCAATGATGTATGTATGTTTGTATGTATTTATGACTTTCATTCAATTTATCATATTTGGATTAGCAAGAGAAAAATCATTAGAGTCCCTTGTATGATCGGGCACAGAGCAGACTTCAGTAAATTATGCAGTTTCCCCATGATTATATGATACAACGGAAAAGATCGAAAGATGAAGTGTGGAAAATTAGGATGGCTTCTGATATTATCTTTATCAGATATTGAGTGGGTTGGAACTTTTGAAGACATTCTTCCTTTCTTTGTTATAGTAAAGTATAATTCATTTACTCATTTAGATTGATAAATGGTTAATTGCATAATTCATAAGATATTTCAGGTAACAAATCAAATAATAGCAGCTGCAATAAAAATAACAAATGAAATGCGCATGATCTCTAACTTGATTCATGGAATAATGGTGCATGTAAATATTAAAAACGGTCCTTACTGATCTCAATATTGCCGTGTGCCCCCTTGCATTCTTTCATGGCGCACTTAGTCACTTTGTCGGACTTGAAATTAGTCCAACCTTGACTTTCAACGTCCACTTCCTCTATTTTACTCAACATCATTATGGTTGAGACATTTGGCATAATGGGGGAAAGAAAACCCTTTAATTACAATATATTTAGGGGGAAAGTACTTCTTATGTGACTGCAGAAGAGAAAAAGTGCAACAACACTTACTTTTATCAGGATACGTGTCTGAATCCTGTTTTTTTTTTTTTTTTGGATAGAATCCGCACGTGTATCCTAGGATCCGCACGTGTATCCTAGTGTTAAAAATTTGCTGCAACTTTTCTCATCAGCAGTCACATGAGAAGCGACGGACCCTATATTTAGTCGGGTAAACTTTATTAGAATATTTTGTCTTACTTTATTCTATGGGAATTATTTTTCTCAAGTTGCATAAGAGAAAAACAATCTCTTATATACACATGGAAGAGAGAATAAGGGAGAGAATTTTTTTTTAAAGTAAGTCTCATATTCAAATTGTATCTAATGCATGAAATAATAATCTCATTGTTGTAAATAATAATTATTTAGTTATTATTTAGCCATTTATTTGTTGTATTGGGCCAAGCTCATTAGGTCAAAATTAGGTCAAGTATTCTCTATAAATAGAGAACCCTTTGTACAGATTATTTACAATTCAATAATATTTCAAATACCCTTTTCTTTCAAGTTGGTATCAGAGCTCTCGATCCTGAGGGCTCTGCTTCCGCAATTACCGCTTCTCCTTTCCTTCTCTCGCCGCCAATCAGCCGCCATCGGAAAATTTTTTCGGGGACCTTTTTTGGACCGAGAAGACTTGTTTTCAAACCTTTTTTTCTCTGATCTATCAGTCTGTGGACCTTTTACAATCAATTGACGGCCGGATCTCTTAAGAACGACTCAAACCCACTACTGTTCATCACTAGAACAGTACTTTCTGGTGACCGTTTGGACTCCGCTCAGCCACAGAAGGGACCGCCACTTCCGGACGACCTCACAGTGAAAATCCCAGCTCCGGCGGCCGCCGCACGCGCTGCCACACTCCCGGCGAGTGAGGCCCACTCGCAGACACCTCCACTGGCGCGTGGAGGCGCGTGACTGCTTCTTTCCAGCTCCGGTCAACAGCGTTCTGATCGTCTCTTCATCCTCTTTCTGGATCTGTGTTTTTTTCTCAGATCGGACGTCGTTTGGTATTTTTCCGTATTTTTTGGATACTTGGTGCTATTCTTTGACAAGTTTTGTGCAGTATGGCCTCTTCTCAAAGGAGTTCCTTTACCAAGTTTTCTGATGGTGCATCTTCTAGAAGAGATGAACGATGGTGTTCTTATTGTAAAAGAACATGTCATATCAAAGATCTATGCTTTCGCCTCCATGGAAAGCAAACTGTCTTAGAAAAGATGGCAAGGTTGCATGGTCAAGCGCATTTTACTTCCTCTGAAATAACTCCTGCACCTAATAAGACCCAACCTGCATTTCGTCCAGATGAGTTGGAACGACTCCGAACCATTCTTGATTCTATGAGTAAGCCATCTGATACTAGTGCTTTGACTATGACTGGTATGAGCTCCAAAACTGCTTCTTTCCTTTCTTCATGTAATGATTTTAAACATTCTTGGGTTGTTGATTCTGGTGCTACTGATCATATGGCTTGTTGTGCTGACTCCTTTACTTCTTATCATCCTACCATTGGAACTCATACAATAGCCGTAGCTGATGGCTCTCATACATCAGTTGCGGGTTTTGGTGACATAAACTTACAGCAGTCCTTACATCTTAAGGATGTTCTTCATGTTCCTAAACTCTCCACGAATCTTCTTTCTATTCATAAAATTACAAAAGATTTGAATTGTACTGTAACCTTCTATCCTACCCATTGTGTTTTTCAGGATCTCGCTACGAGGAAGACGATTGGTAGTGCTAAAGAGCAAGGTGGGCTGTACTATCTGGTGTCACAATCTCCTGCAAATAAAGTAACAGATCACATCTTGATGTCTCATGGGCAATCAACTGCTGATTCTTTGATTTGGCTTCATCATAAGCACTTAGGTCATCCTCCATTTAGTTTACTCAAATCTTTATTTCCGTCATTGTTTTTGTCTAAGTCTGTTAAGTCTTTTCATTGTGATGTTTGTGAATTTGCTAAGCATCATTGTGTGTTTTTTCCTTCTAGTATTACTAAGAGTGTTGAACCTTTTGATCTTATTCATTCTGATGTTTGGGGTCCCTCTAAAGTCCCTCATGCTTCTGGAAATAGATGGTTTGTTTTTTTTATTGATGATTACACTCGTGTAACTTGAGTGTACTTAATGCGTGAAAAGTCTGAGGTACCACAACTGTTCTTTCAATATTATAAAATGATTGAGACCCGGTTTGGTAAAAAAATCAAGAGACTAAGAACATATAATGGTACTGAATATGTTAATCACAGTTTTTCCCAATTTATAAGAAATAACGGTATGATTCATGAACTTACTTGTGTTGACACCCCCCAACAGAATGAGGTTGCTGAAAGAAAAAATCGTCACCTTCTTGAAGTGGCTCGTGCATTAATGTTTCAGACACATGTACCCAAATACTATTGGGGAGATGCTATTCTTACTGCAGCATTCTTGATCAACCGTTTACCCACTCGGGTACTTGACCATGTAAGTCCTATTCACTCTATGACTTCTTTTTTCCCTTCTATTCCAACAATGATGAGTCTTCCTCCACGAGTGTTTGGGTGTGTTGCTTTTGTTCATGTTCATAAACATCATCGCAGTAAGTTGGACCCTAGGGCTATTAAATGTGTTTTTCTTGGTTATGTTCCTGATAAGAAGGGCTACAAGTGCTATCACTCTAGTAGTAGGAAATTTTTTGTTTCTATGGATGTTACATTTCAGGAATCTGAGTCCTTTTTCCAAGGTCCTCATCTTCAGGGGGAGAATCCTTCACCAGAAATCTCATCACCTTCCTTCTTTGAGTTTGAATCTTCAGTGTCTACTCTTTTACCTATGTCAGTGTATCCTCCTCTTGGTCCTGTTCCTCCTGTGTCTGTTCCTCCTGTGAGTAATCCTCCTGTGACTGATTCTCCTGTGATTGATACATCAAGTACACCAGAGATACAGAAGATTATGACACCTGAAAGAAGGAAACAATCCACATTGTCTCAGCAGCAACCTCAATCGTCTGAACCACTGGTAAGTCCTGAATCTCATATTTCTGATCAAGATGTTAATACTTCTGATGACTTACCCATTAATACTGATTCTGATGATTTACCCATTGCTCTTAGAAAAGGAAAAAGAGCTTGTCCCAAGAAATCTTGTCCCTCCTGTCCCTCTTGTACTCAATACCCTATCTCCCATTTTGTTTCCTCTGCTAATCTTTCTGTGCAGTACAAAAGCTTTGTTTCAGCACTAGACTCTATTGCAATCCCAAAATCAGTACATGAAGCCTTGAAAGATAGGGATTGGGCTCAAGCCATGCAAGAGGAGATGAATGCTTTGGAGAAAAATAAAACATGGGAGGTTATTGATAGACCCAACGGAAAGAAAGCAGTAGGGTGCAGATGGGTTTATGCCCTGAAATATAATTCTGATGGCACTCTTGAGAGATACAAGGCTCGATTAGTGGCCAAAGGTTACACTCAAACCTATGGCATTGATTATGAAGAAACCTTTGCTCCAGTTGCAAAGATGAATACAGTGAGAATCTTGTTATCCCTTGCTGCCCATTACAATTGGGATATAAATCAATTTGATGTGAAAAATGCTTTCTTCAATGGTGAGTTAGAAGAAGAAGTCTACATGGAAATCCCGCCTGGTTTTGATTCTGTGAAGGGGGAAAATAAAGTTTGTAGATTAAAAAAGGCCTTGTATGGATTGAAGCAGTCACCTCGTTCTTGGTTTGGAAGGTTTACTAAGGTTATGATGACCTTAGGATACAGACAGAGTCAAGGAGATCACACTCTTTTCTTCAAGCACTCCCAAAATGGGAAGCTTACTGTGCTCCTTGTATATGTTGATGATATTATTATCACAGGTGATGATTTTGTGGAGAGACAGATTCTGCAAAAGCGGCTTGCCTCTGAGTTTGAAATCAAAGACCTTGGGAAACTGAGATATTTCCTAGGGATAGAAGTAGCTCATTCAAGCAAAGGAATTTTTATCAGCTAGAGGAAATATGTTTTGGATCTTCTCAAAGAAGCAGGAAAGCTCGGGTGTAAACCCTCTAATACTCCTATTGAGCAGAATCACAAGATGGGCTATGAAGAAGAGAGTCCTCCAGTTGATAAAGGACAATATCAACGGCTAGTTGGGAAATTGATATATCTGGCCCATACTAGACCAGACCTAGCTTATGCTGTTAGTGTTGTCAGTCAGTTTATGCACGATCCAAAGGAAAAACACATGCAGGCAGTAGAGAGAATTCTTCAGTATCTTAAAAAGGTACTCCTGGTAAAGGATTGTTATTCCGACGTGATGGCAATCTATCTTTAGAAGTCTACACAGATGCTGATTATGCTGGATCCGTGACTGACCGTCGTTCTACCACTGGTTATTGCATGTTTCTTTGCGGTAACTTGGTGACATGGAGAAGTAAGAAACAAGATGTGGTTGCCAGATCAAGTGCAGAAGCTGAATTTCGAGCTATGGCTCAAGGCATTTGTGAGTTATTGTGGCTGAAAATTGTACTTGATGATCTCAAAATAAAATGTGAGGGACCTATGAAGCTGCTATGTGATAATACG